TTGGGCAGTAGATTTCAACATAGGAATCTCAGAGGAGACATCCAGTCTGTAACAGAGGGCCACGATCCAGGAGAGATTTGCTTGATGAGAAACGTTTTAATTATCTAATGTGCAACCAACTGCACCAAAGTTTGGTAGCTTCAAACAAAATTTAACATTTCTAAAGGTGCTGTGGGTTGATGGAGATCAGTTGGGAGGCTCTCAACTTATCTGGGGGGCAGATATAGTTGGGGATGGAGTTGTGTGAAGGCTCAACTCGAGAATGAGTTCTTCCCTCACATGCCTGGTGGCTCATGGCAGGAGCGCGGAGCTATGGCATCTCCCTCCCCACGTGGCTGCCTGGCCTTAACGCCAGGGCGGTGGGCTCAGACCAACTGGACCTCTCCCAGAAGCATGCATTCCAAAGGGCTTCTTTTGAAGGACATTACATGGGGAACTTTATCTGTCCTCCTGGGGATTTCCAGGATTCGATTTGGACACTGATGGGAAAGAAGGACTCGCGGATGTGGAGGGCTCTGGACACACCCAGTTCAGGGCACATTATACACAGATGCACATATTTGCATCTCAAACTTTTTATTTTAAATAAATTCAGGCTCATGACAACTTTCATAAAAATCATTTGTAATGGCTGTATTATATTCAAATTTATGACAACTCTGACATTTAATCGCTGTTCTCTTCATGTTGAACACTGAAAGATTTTCAATTAAAAAATAACATTGCAATGAACGTCTCTGATAAATTCATTAGGAAAGCGTCCTTGCATCACTTCTGAGGCAAAGACGATTAATATTGCAAAGGCAAATTGCCAGATTGCCTTTCAGAAACGTCTAACCCTTGCGCACCGCCTGCCGTGTAGGAAACGCCCCCACCTCGCGGCGGCCGTGGCCCCTCCTCCCCTCCGGGTCTGCTCCGCCCCGTCCGCGGTGGCCAGGTCCTTCCCCGGGGCACACACTGCCCGATCCGCTTTACTGGCGAACTTCTCCAGCCCGTGAGGCTTCACCGCTGGGTCTGGAGCTCAGCGCCGCCCACCAGGGACCTGAAGAAGCTCCGCTCTCCTGGGCAGCTCCTGGCTGGGGGGAAGGGGAGACGGGGGGAGGGGTTCTCTCCGGTCACGAAGGAGGGTTCCTCATTCCGGAACTGGCAGTCACCAGGCCAGAGGGGCTGGAGAATGAAAGACGTATCTTCTAACCGTACCTCAGGGGTCCTTCTCGTGGGATGGACCTGGTAGCCTCAGCCAGGAGGGGACAGGCCAGTTGTCACCTCCCAGATGTCGGAGAAGGACCTTCTGCTGTCCGAATCCTGCACCTCCACGGTCGGCTGGCAGAGTCGGTCCCCAAGGCCCAGAGGTGTCCGTTTGCCTGTCTCTCCTCTCCATCCTGCCGCCCCGGGGCTGAGTTCGGACTTAGGGTCCGGCAAGCAGGGGAAGCGACAGAGGAGCAGGGAGCGGGGACGGGGAGGGAGGTCAAGCCCAGAGCCTGGGGAGTTGCGGCCACATGGAGCCTGGGCCTGCGCTGCGGGAGCGGGAGGACATGAGTCGGTGGGCCCGGGAACCTCAGCTGACTTCTGAGTGGCTGCAGCAAAATGCCTTAAAATGACTTCTTTAACCTCCACAAAGTGTGGGTTCTCGGTGACGAATTCTGAAACACAATTTTAGAAGTCCAGAAGCAGTTTTCTGGCTTTTTTTTTTTGTTAACCAATAACAAAAATAACTAATAGTTTTACAGCACTTACTTACTATGTGCCAACAACTCTATGAGAGAGGTCATTTTTCTCATTTTTGTAGGTAAAGAAACTGAGGCACAAAAAAAGGTAAAGTGACTTGCCCGGTCATAGAGCTAGTGTCAGAGAAGCCTTGGTTCAAACCCGGGCAGGTGGCTTCAGGGTTGCAATGATACCATTTTATTCTTTTCTCCTGGTGATTGACACCTTTTCACTGACCTTGTAGGAAACAAGCGGAAGCCTGTGGCACAAAGACCCCAGCTCCTGTTTGGAGCCGTCTCACTGATCTCGGCCTTCACCCCCTTCCAGAATCCGGGGTTCTACGGCCCTGGCTCCCATACAGCCCTAGCCCTGTGGACTGAGGACACACTTTTCTTTTGAAATGTGTGTGCAGCAAACTCGGTCTGATGTCATCAGACCCCAGTGATCCCTCTCTGGGACCTGGTACAGGGACATGTCATACAGGGAACCTACTGCGGGGGGCAGCACTTGCCCACAGGGAGTCACTGCAGGGCCTGAAGATGCCGCTGACTTCCCCAAGATGTCTGGTGGTCACACTTTTCTTTAAATTTTTGGGAGACGGCAGCCTGGTACCTCAAAGTTCCTCTCAGTCCTGAGTTAGGGGTAATCCTTTCTGGAAATCTCTGCAGTTGCACTACAGGATTCCTCCTGAGGTGCTCCGGCTAAGTCAGGGCAGCAAGGGAACAGCCGTGGAGCTGGGCCTGGAACACTCTAGTCCTGGCCTGACACTGGCCTTGAAGTCACACGACCCCACTGACTCTCCGTGCTCACGTACCAAAGAACAGGAGACCCCGAGCTTTCATTTTTAACAGATTCCCTTCTGCTGTTCTTCCCCTCCATAAACCATCGTCTATGGCACAGCACTAAGTTAGAATTTAGGTTCTCCATTTTATTAAGTAGACAAAAATAACCCCCAAACTTCTTCTTAGCACCAGCTGGCCATGGCTACTGTCAGTTGGTTAAATTCTAGCCAACAGAAACATTTCCCTTAGCTCGGGCAACCTTACGTAGGTCAACATACGGGTCCCTCTCAGCTTGTAGGATATTGAACACTACTTAAATTCCATGAACTCCCTCCTACCACAGAGAAGCCTGGAAACGATGGTGAGATGGTTTCCAAGACCTCTCCCGGGTCTAGTGCTTCACTGCGCTGGGCTGTCGGCCACACCCAGGACTCAGACTGTCCAGACACAGGTTCTGTGCCTGCTTTACCACTAACCCCAAATACAGGGTGATGGTGTCCACCCCTGTTGTCCTCTTCTCTGTCCTTACAAGACCCATGAGATGGCCCTTCCCTTGGGCACACATTCTGCCAAGGGGCTGCCCGCTGGCCTCCAAGGCCTGTCTCCCATGCTTGCTTCCATCCCCGACCAACACCTCCCATCGGAACATGCCATCCATGTGGATAGAACCTTGAAGGCTTGGTCTCATTAACCACCTGCGATGATACTCACAGTTGTTGGAGAGCGCGAGGGGCTCCCAGTAAGCTGGTCTTCAGCCCACACAAAATCCAGGAGTTGACTTAATGTAGATTAATGCTTAGTGGATTGAGGGAGAGAAGCAGCCCACGGTCAGCAGGATGGGCCTGCCACATTCCTCATAGTCATGTTTCTCCCCCTCAGGGCCGGCCCCCTCCCATTCCGCTCTCCCTCCACCCTGCCATAACTGTCCACCAGACCCCAGGAAAAAAGTGCTTTATCCCCAACCTCATGCTGGGAAATACTGTAATAAATAGCTCTGGCTGCTCTGCTTCCGGAGAGTTGACGGGAACATGGTAATGCCAAGACCATGCAGAGCAGAGCCAGGAAGAGAAACAGGGTGTAGCCCTCTCAGTGAAGGGCCCAAAGCACCAGCTGCAGGTGAGCCCGAAGACCTCTGATCCCTCGAGCCAGCCTCAGAAACGCAGCCCCCAAGCCCTTCACACACTGGGTGTGGCAGATGGTCCTACTGTACCCAACCATTCAGTCCCACCCTGTAGAACAATACATTCTAGCCTGCCACACACGACTCGCACTATTTCCTGTGAACACACCCTCCCCTCACTGAGCTTGGCACGAGACCTGCTTTGGTCATGGACGTACACGCCAACGTGTTCCCACCCGCCCCTTTCCCGTCCCTCCGTGAGGACAGCGTGTTCCAGACCGGCTGCCCTTCAGCCTGGGGCCTGGGGGAGCCCAGCAGCAGGGTCCCAGCCAGAGACGGGGACAGTGGTGTGCACTGTGGGTGAGAAGAAAACATGGCTGTTGTCCACCTCTAAGATTTGGGAGTTGTTCTTGCTGCATAATCTGGCAAAAGCTACGGCGAGGGGTCACACAGGGACCGCTTAGGGGCAGAGTAAAGGAGCGAAGCAGAGGGACCTGCCAGACCTGGGACTGGGGGGCGGCCGGCGGGGAGAAGGAGCCTGAGGTGAGGCTCCAGTACTAAACTTGGTGTGAGTCACAATTAAAAACGCTGTTCATGTGGTTAAACATCAGAGGCCAGGATTTTAATAACGTGGTGGACTAATATTTTCTACCTGAAAGCTTAACTACAAAGAAACATGTAGTTAGAAACAGAAAATATAATGACCCATCCTCTTAATATTTTTCATAATTTTAAGGTTTTTTAGCCACCACTCTGTAGTTAAGAAGGAACATTTTTTTTGAAATTTGGCAATTATTCACATTTTACTTCTGTGTTTTTTGGTCTTATCTTAAAGTGAAATTATTTTTTAAAGTTCTCTTTCAAAATTTTCTGAGTTAGCTTCCCAAACATCAATGTAAACTTGTACAAAATTGAAAAAATCTAATCATACCACAAAAATAACCATCGTTTATTTTAAATAAAGTGACTCCTATATGAATCGAGATAGGGGTATAGATTGATTCCACAGAATATTTCATTTAATTAATTTTATTATAACTGGATCAGGTCTGAGACCAGAGAGATGGAAATAGCCTTGTTAGAGAAGCACACATTATAATCATTCTAATTGAAATATTTTCTTATGGAAGAATTACAAATATTTGTGTATTACAAGAGCTGACTACATGCTTTCAAGTCGATCTTTTCTGCCAAAGGATTTGATCATGTGCCATCATGTGATCCAGAATAAAGCAATCAACTGCCCTTATCAGTCATAACAGGAATCTGCACAACCCCCAGAATATGGGGCAAGGACTGTTCCTCTTCCACCTGCACGTAGCATATCCAACAAAAGATCCATCACCGCTCCCGTGAAAAAATAAATGTGCTTCTACACAGCATGAAAACCAGCTCTAATTTTTAGACCACACATTAGGGCTTTCCTCTTGATGTGAAATGAGTAACAACAGAGCAGCATTGGTTTTTATTTTTTCTCTTTATTATCAAACTGATCGTTAATGAGAAAACACTTGGAGCAGATTAGGAACTTAACTTAAATCTTCAGTCTTCTCTTTTCAACCCAAGTGCTGGAATACAACACTCTGCATTATGTCCCAGCCATCAGGTTCTCTTTTCTTTTTTGCCTTTAGAGTCCTTTATGAAAGGAAACATACTGCCTGGCATTTTATATTATTCCTAATTCCCAGATGGAAAACGAGCCCAATAAAATGACATCTAAAAACACTGAGGAATTATATTTTTAAAAACAAGACAATAATTCAGATCTTCTTCAATTCTTTTCTATATTATCACAGTAAAATATTTATCAAAGTCAAAGAGATTACTGATACACAATAACGACCAATGACCTCACATTAATGAAGCTATCAATAGCTCATCAGTGAAGGAGCTGAAAAAGAGTTCAAATGGAAAGGGTGATTCACTATTGTGTTTATACCGTATCGAAACAACCATAACATTTAAACACCCAGAAGGTTCTAAGCAGTATTAAATAATAATTGATAACTCTGAAACACTGCAACATCTTGAAGTACCTTTTGAATGACCAAAAACAGATGATAGTTTATTTGGTATAACTCTAATTAAGATTTTTACACGGAACTATATAATTTTCAAAATTGGTAATCCATATGAGAGATACACAAAACCCTTAACTGACTAGACTACTTAATAAATAGAGCTCCACATTACTTTGTTATGAACTAATGAGCTTTCAATTCAATGAAACCCTTTTAAGAAGTCCTAGTTTATAGAAGGGTATGTTCAATTGGTCCAACTATCATGAATAAAACACTTGGTCTAACTGCTCTCAGTATCATCTTCAAAGGGTCTGTTCGGATTCTGTCCAGCAGTCTCTCGCCCATGGGTGCATCACGGGTTTCAGCTCAGCTGGCCAGCAGTGACCTTCCCACCGTGTCCCACTACAGTGCCACCTCCAACACGTTCCACAAAGTATCATGTCCTCCTCTAAGTTTGCAGTAGAATGTCAGATTAATAATGGCATGTGGTGTTCCTTAGCATAACCTGCCAGAATGTGATAATTTCCTTGGAAGAAAAGCCATGGGCAGCAATCACACGCCTGAGCTGACAGACATCCAAATGAATTCTGTATAGAAAGAAAAGGTTTGTGTCTTCGGGAATATGAATGTCCACCTTTAATAAATTCAAACAGATCCCAACGTAAACATCTTCAAACTTGATGGGTTTTATGTGACTCATCATTTCATAGATTTTTGGCACCAAATCTCTAGACATTATATAACCAAACCCACTACAGTAGGGAGGAAACACCTTGAAGGGATACTCCTGGTATGAAATATGGGTTTTTTGGTAAAATCCTCTATAGGAATAATTATCAATTAGAGGATAACCTGTGAAAAACTTCTCTGACTGGTTTACATTTAAAAGATACTTGACTAGATTGCCAGTATTGATAAAAACATCAGTGTCTGTCTTCATGATGTACTTGGCATTGGGGCAAAACTCAGTTACCCACCTGAATGCCATGATTGTTTTCAAGGTCAGGTTATTATATGTGTCTAAAAAATCTTGTCGTATTATGTCGCCGTAAAGAAGGTGTTCATCTTCTAGGGACAACGTTAACACTTTATCTTCCCTTTCCGCCTGCTGGCCTAATAAGAAAAATGTAAGAACTTCGTAGCCCCACCAAGACTTTTTTTCACCCCAAGTAACTCGAACGGCCTGTCTGGCTTTCACAGCTGAGGCGTGCGAGGTCACCAGGATGACGAGAAACGGGTTCTGATGAGAGCAGTTTGAGTGCTCGCGCAGGGTGAAGCGGAAGTCCTGCCTGTAAATGGGCTCGTACTCATAGAAGTACATCCAGTTCACACGTTCTATCACATTATAGTGGGGCAGGCTGAGGTACCACATCACGAGGAAGCTCAGGAGCGACAGAAGCAGCAGGCTCCATTTGAGGGATCTCAGTGACATCCTACTGGGAAGGGTGGCCGAGAGGGCCAGGGCCATTCACAGCAGCGCAGAAGCAAGTGGTTCAGGTTCTGGAAGATGAATCGAAGACCTGGTTAGTAATCCACCACCCCAAACACATTTTCAAATGATATCTGATTATCTACTTAAGGAGAAAAAACAGGAGAACAAAGCTCCAAGCAAAACCAAAACCTCTGACCTGAATCTTATAAACTTCATTTAACTGTAATCAAGTGGATACCAACAACCAAAAATGTATTTGAGCTTTTTGCTTCAAGATAAAGGTTAAAAATATTCTTGGTAATTTTGGAAAATTAATACTTCTTGTTTGACATTAATAACTCTTGCAATATAATTTTGTCCTGAATGTCCAGAGGGACAGAAAGAGATGAGTAATAGAGATGGGTTTAAAAAATAAAATCTATGAGACTTTTTGCAGTGACCAGAGGAACTGTGGCATGAGAGGTCCCCTTGGTCTCTCCCCTTGAAGTTTCAACAATTTGAACATATAATTCAACAAAGGATTCCCTGCTCAACACCCAAACACACCTGAGAGATCGATGCACTGAAACATCTAAAGGTGAACAAGTGGGAGTGAACCAGGGAGTCAAGAAGAGAGAAGCACTGAGAAGAGCCATGGATGTAGCCCTGCAGCTGGGAGCTCACAGTGGGGCTTAGGCCAGAGAGGGGAGGAGCCAGGTTGTGACTGGCACTCCCTTCAGCTGGGAGGAGCAGAGGTTCGGTGGGCATTCCGCAGGAATAGAGATATGAGCTGCTGCTGAGCCCAGTGAGCCGGGCAGAGACACACCACACAGGTGCAGCCGCGGCTGTCAGCAGTCCAGACAGAAAAGGCATGCAGCCTGGCTGCCCCCTGACCTCCCAGAGCTTGCTTCTCTTTACCCTTGGCGTCAGGTTGTGGAGCACATTATCTGCCAACCCAAGAACTGGAACTACAGATTACTTTTCCCCTGAGCCAAGGGTGCACTCTTTGACTGGTCCCAGAAGCGGGGAGAAAGGGGGAACTCTGTGGAGGTCTGAGGCTGCCATTATTCAAAGGCCAAAGCAACTTCGAAGGTGGCCGGGTTATCCCAGCCAACCCCACCCCAAAACATCATGTCTACACTGATGGCAGCATCTGGCTGTGGGGGACAGCATGGGGATGTCACAGATTTGGAGGCCCATTACCCACATTCCCCTGCAGGGTTGGTTTGCTGGGACTGGGGTGACTGGATCACTGGGGAGGGATGCACCTTCCCATTTTCTACCACCCAAGGAGATCTGAAAAGCCAGAGAAATGCAAGGGAGCTAAAAAACTTGAGCATAACAAAGAGAGAGAGAGAAAGAACTCTATGAGAACTATGTGACTCCGGCAGGAAGAGCAGTATAAGAACAGGCATTCCAGAAGAGGAAGAGAGGGAGAAGGAAACAGAGAGCCTATTCAAATAAACAACCAATGAGAACTTCCCAAACCTATGGAAAGAGCTAGATCTTTGAATTCAAAAACCAAACAAAACACCTAATTACCTCTATCCAAAAAGGTCTCCTCCAAGGCACTTTGCATTAAAACTTTCAAAAATGAATGACAAACGCCCGGCCAGTGTGGCTCAGTGCTTGAGCATTGACCCATGCACCAAGAGGTTGCCAGTTCAATTCCTGGTCAGCGAGCATGCCCAGGTCGTGGGCCCAATCCCCAGTGGGGGGCATGCAGGAGGCAGCCAATTAATGTTCTTACTTATACAGCAATAATTACCCTAAATGTAAATGAACTGAATTCACTAATAAAAAGGCACAGAGTAGCAGATTGGATCCAAAAACAAGACCCAACCATATGCTGCCTTCAGGAAAACACATCTAAGTTGCAAAGACGGAGATAAACTCAAAGTGAATGGATAGAAAATTATTCTCCAAGACAATAGCATCCACAGAAAAGCAGGTATGGCCATGCTTACATCTCACAAATAGCGAGATTAACAAAGGTAACAAGAGACAGAGATGGACATTTTATAATGATAAGGGGGACACTACATCAAGAAGACATAACACTGCTCAATACATATGCACCTAATCAGGGAGCAGTGAAATATATAAAGCAACTACTAACAACTAAAGGGAGAAAGTGAAAAAAACACAATCATAGTTGGGGACCTAAATACTCCATTGACAGCTATGGATAGATCATCCAAACAGAAAATCAATAAAGAAATATTAGCCTTAAATTACACATTAGACCAAATGAACATAACTGACATTTACAGAGCCTTCCATCCCAGAATATCAGATTGTACATTCTTCTCCAGTGCACATGGAATATTCTAAAGGACAGACCATATGTTGGGTCACAAAACTAGCCTCAACAAATTTTAAAAGATTGAAGTCATACCAAACATATTCTCTGACCACAATGCTTTGAAATTAGAAATCAACTGCAAAAAGGAAGTAAATAAACACACAAGTATGTGGAATTTAAACAACATACTACCAAAAAAAAAAAAAAAATGACCGGGTCAAAGAGAAAATAAAAGGTGAAATCAAAAGATATATATAGAGAGAGAAATGAGAATGACAATATGACATATCAAAATTTCTGGGATGCAGCAAAAGCAGTAATAAGAGGGTGGTTTATATCATTACAGGCCTATCTCAAGAAACAAAAGAAATCTCAAGCAAACATTTTAAAGAACTAGAAAAAGAGGAACAAAAGCAACCCAGAGTCAACAGAAGAAAGGAACTAATAAAAATTAGAGCAAAACTGAATAAAATAGAGAATAGAATGACTATACAAAACATTAATACAACAAAGAGCTGGTTCTTTGATAAGATTAATAAAATTTACAAACCCTTGGCTAGACTCACTAAGAAAAAAAGAGAAAAGACTCATAAAAACACAATCAGAAATGAAAGAGGGTAAGTGATCACAGACATCACAGTTATACAAAAGATCATACTAGAATACTATGAAACACTATATGCCACTGAATTCAATAGTCTAAAAGAAATAGGTAAGTTCCTAGAAATATATATCCTTCCTAGACTGAATCACAAGAACTGGAAAATCTAAATAGACTGATCAACAGTGAGGAAATTGGAACAACCATAAAAAAAAAACCTCCCAAAAAATAAAGGTCCAGGGCCAGATGGCTTCACTAGGTGAATTCTACCTAACAGTCAAAGAAGATTTAATACCTATCTTTCCCAAACTCTTCCAAAAAATTAAAGAGGCAATACTTCCTAACACATTTTATGAGGCCAACATAACTTGGATACCCAAACCTGGCTAGGATAACACACACCACACACACACACACACAACTATAGCCCTGGCCAGTGTGGCTCAGTTGGTTGGAGTGTCATCGCGGTTCTTTCCCAGTCAGCGCACATACCTAGGTTTCAAGTTCGATCTCCAGTCAGGGAGCATGTGGCAACCAATTAATGTTTCTCTCTCTCAAATCAATAACATGTCCTCAGCTAAGGATTTAAAAATATATAAAAAACTATAGACCCATATCTCTGATGAATACAGATGCAAAAATCATAAATAAAATACTAGCAAATCAAATACAATACATTAAAAAGAATAATACATCATGATCAAGTGGGGTTCATTCAAGGGGCACAAGGATGATTCAACATAAGTAAGTATATCAATGTAATATACTGCAATAACAAAAGATAAAAATCATGATCTTACGAACAGAAGCAAAAAAAGCATTTGATAATATACAACATCCATTTAATCTAAAATCAGGAACAAGACAGGGCATTCTACAAGCCATGGTTTTTAAATGAGAAAATGTGACTGTGGTTATGACGTCTATTGTTTATGGGACCACAAAGAAAATAAAGCAGCAGCAAAAAGAAGAGAAACGCTCTGGTCCAAAGGGTAGGAAAAGCCTTTCAAGGACTGGCTAGGCAGACTTAGGTTCCCTATAATGCAGGGGCTCTGAGGGCACAGAGACCAGGGTCTACACTCTAGCTCCTTCCTTTACCAACCAGGGCAAGCAGGTATATTATTAACTTCTTGAGGCCTCAGTTTCCTCATCTCTACATTGCGGATGTTAACACAGTGCAAATTGGTGCTAATGTGTGCAAAGTATGTGGGCAGTGCTGGTTGTTCAACAGACAGGGGCTGTCATCGCCGGCTCTGTTCTACCCTTGGCATCTTTTCCATCCTAGTAGCACCTCTAAATTGATTTTTATTGTCAAAGGGATTATTCCAAAGAAATAATCTTGATGAATTCTTGTTACTTGAAGAAAAGTCAGTTTTGCCCTGGCCGGTTTGGCTCAGCAGTTAGAGTGTCGGCCTGCGGGCCGAAGAGACCCGGGTTCGGTTCCCGCTAAGGGCGCGTACCTCGGTTGCAGTTTGTCCCCGACACTGGTTGGTCGTGTGGGTGGCAGCCACTCAATGTGTCCCTTTCACGTCGATGCTTCTCTCTCTTCCTCCCACTCTATTTGAACAAAAAATGGAAAAAAGTGTCCTTGGGTGAGGATTAGAGAAAAAAAAGAAAAATAGGTTTCAAAGCCATAACTATATTTCTATTTCTTACCTTCTTGATTTACCTCTTCTGAGTGAAATACCTTCAGTTTCACCAACTGACCATTCAGTAGTAAGTAACAGTTAAAAACAATGCTTGAGCCCAGCCGGTGTGGCTCAGTGGTTGAGTATCGACCCATGTACCAAGCGGTCACTGGTTCGATTCCTGGTCAGTGCACATGCCCAGGTTGTGGGCCAAATCCCCAGTGGAGGGCATGCAGGAGGCAGCCAATCAATGTTCTGTCTCATCAACATTTCTCTCTCTCTCCCTCTCCCTTTCTCTCTCTCTAAAATTAATAAAGAAAAATAAATAATGTTTGAAATTTCTGTAAGACATATAAGAAATGTAACAGCATTTACATATGAGTCAGGGGACTAGAGAGGTCAAAGAGGGGAAGGGATCCTTATTAGTTGAAATAAAAAGTTAAAAAAAAAAAAATACCGCTAGTCCACAGAATTCAGAGAGTTCATGGCTTCATCATGGAAGAAGGGCAGTTGGTATTCAAGACTTAAACCTGTATCTAAATTCTCACGTCAGCC